CAAAATTACAATACAGCAGGGGCTATTTATCTTTTGAGAGGTTGTTAATTTGTTTGTGAGGGAAGCGTGTTTCCATTTGCATTAAGAATCAGGTATAAATCCCATCTCAACATGTTACTGTTCTCCAAACCGCTAATGAGGCAAAACCAGGAAGTGCAAGCTCCAAAAACAAAACACTGGCCTGAGAATGGTCTCTATGCACGGCGGTATTTCCGGTGAAGGTGTAAGGATGCTCCATAACTTCCACTGATCGTAGAGTCCAATGCAATACCGAGAATTTATAATTAATTTTATAACAGAGGAGGCATCCAGGCTTTAAATGGCATTTAAATGTGTGTTGAAAGTTATAATGTTATACTACGTGTTAGTTTGTTTGCTATACGAAATTAGCAGTGTGCTAAATCAACATTAGAATAACATACTGACCATATTCTAACATTTCATCATGTATATAATATATATCATTTTAATAATGATCTTTTAATTTTATAAAGGACAATAATAATCATAATTTTAAATTTAATTTATTTATTTTATTTATTAAATCATTTATTTATAGATTTTTATTTACAAATTATTTGCAGTAGCAGTTCAACCATGTAAACCATTTCATCCATATGTGGCAAAAAACAGGAAGGTGCACTTGAAAATATCAATCCATCAGTTCACTGTACATGGTGTATTTATTTGCAGGCTTCCTGAAGAAAGTCTGGCAGTTTAATGCGATTCTCATGAGCTATTCTGTTTTACCCTGATTGTGTTAGGTAGGGAAAAGCTGATCAGGGAGCATTTTTATCCCTATAGGCTGATGATGAGATGAGGTGATATGGCTCTAACAGCACCAGCGACACAGCCAGTTTGAACCGTATTCTGACGCCCATCATAACCTCCCCTTATGGAGTGAAAACAGTCTCAAAACCTTCCACAAATGCACGCGAGATCCACATGTGCGCACTAAGACCCCGTTTACACCTGGTATTAAAATGCGATCTGTATCCAGATAAGTTATCCGGATAATAAAAAACGCATGTTAATGCAAGGTGTAAACGCGTTGTGATCGGATCGTGATCGGATCTGCCTGACCACATCTGGAGGTAGTCTGGCTCGCATTGTGTCCGGATCTTTACTAGGTGTAAACGCAATCTGGTTGTTGAAACCACATATGTATATTTTACTCCTCCCAAAAATGCTAAAAAATAAACGAGTGAGAGCGTGTTATATAGGCTATATGTCATGTTATAGCCTAGTCAGATGCGACACGCAACACGCATCACCGCAGATGAGCAGCTGAGCGTCTATTCAACGTGCAAACATCGCAAATATAAGTGAAAGTAAGTCACAGACGCAGTTAACACATCTTCAAGTAAAGAAACGAAATTATCTTACCAGGCCTGTTGCCACTCTCTCTTATTGATGTCTCTGATTTGGAAATTAGCTGATGATCAATAAAATGCCGCTCAGATCTGTTGCTTTTGGTGGCGTGCAATCCAATAAATCTGCATATAACGCAGGAGGTGAAGATCGGATTTATATCCGTTTTGCAAAAACACATTTATGTGGCCAGGTGTAAATGGAATCAGTACTTATTATCCGGATAACTTATCTGGATACAGATCGCATTTTAATACCAGGTGTAAACGGGGTCTAATTGACAGATGCACGCGAGAGATCCACACATGCAAATCAATCCACAGATGCACACAAGAGATCCACACACGCAAATCAATCCACTCGAGCATAGGCGCCGATACCTGGGGCTCGAGCACCCACAGAAAATACCGAGCACCCACGTGTGCCAGACTGCCAGTAGGCTACATTCATTTAAAATTAAACATTGCAGTTGGTGCTACGTAAAGTGTCTGTCACACTGTGATTGGTTATGTCACTGTCAGTCGACTGCTCCATATCCTATACACCAATCACAGCGTTTCTCAGGTAAAAACGCCTCTGATCGCTGTTACGTGTCAGATAAACTTTTAAACTTATCTGTATTTGTGAGAAGTGGCGCAGTCCTGAGCTATGGTCCTGAGTTGAAAGATAGTCGAAAGATAGCCTACTTTTACGGCTTTGTTATCAAGTAAATAGGTGTGTGCATCTGTGATGTGGATCTCTCTCGTATATTTGTGGATTGGTGCACGCGCATGTGGATCTCGGGTGCATTTGTGGATTGGTGTGTGCGCATGTGGATCTCTCACGTGGATTTGTGCAAGGTTTTGAGACTGTTTTCACTCCATATCCCCCTCCCCCCTAGCACACACACATACACAAGACATCAACAGACAGGGACCCTAGAGAAACAGCCATATCAGCAGCGTTCAGCTGGTCACTATTTAAAAAACGGTTTGGTTAGAATTCGGAGTGCAGCCCAAGCTGAGAACAGAGCTGTGCCTATCTCCAGGGGTTGAGGGGACTTGGAGCCATCACAAAGACATTTAGGCATAAAGTAGAGGAAAGGCAAAAAAAAAAGAAACAAACAAACCCTTTTATAAAGGATCTTATCACCACCCTGTATGAACACAGGAAGAACTACAGAGGAATCACCATCACTGAACAGTTTCCCACAGCACCACATCACTCAAGACATCACAAATTTACTTGCTATTGAGGATTTAACTTCTTTCTGCATTAATTAAAGCTGGCCTGATAACTCTATTGGAAACAGCTGTTTCTAAGGTTAGAGCACCCTTGGAGAACGTTTCCAAAAACAACGCATCTGCCAGGAGCTTATTTATTTCTGTCTATATCAAAGGCAATTCATTTCTGAGGTTTTTATTTCTGCATGCTAAGCTTCATTCAATGATACAGTAAACACCTATATTATTGTTACTTATAAATTAGATAGCAGCGAACTGGTTTGTATCAACACTGCAATGCTTAAAGTTCATTAATCACGCATGAGATAGTGACCTAATGCTAACCGAGGTTGACAAATTTGCCAAGGATGTCAGCGTATAAATCAAAGCATAATTTAGATATCAGCCGTGAGAATACAAACAAGAGTGAACATTAATTTCTCTCACGGTCATTTACTCACTAGCACAGAATGTCTTTAGTCGCTTCATCAAATCCGCTTGTTCTAATTAGAGCTCAACACTCAATGAATCAATAAAGAATGTTCTAACTTTTTCACACTGGGTTGAAAGGAAAATTAATTTAAAACAAAGATATTGTGTAGTTTACACAGCTCTTCCTTGATTGGTTATTTTGTATTCAGTTGCATTTACTAATCTAATCTACTCGTTGGGAGTTAATTGGTACTTGGTTTGCATGGGAAGTCTATTAAATTACATTTATGCTATCTTAGCTTTGGCCTTTCACCCCTCCCGAAACATAGGCCATTGACAACTTTTCTCCAGCGTCCGTGGTCCTGGACAATTTTCTCTTCCCAGGTATACCCATTCCCTTTGGTTTCTGCCTCCATGTCTCTTCTCCAGGTGTTTTTAGGTCTCCCCCTTTTCCTTTTGCCTTATGGATTCTACGTCAGGGCCTGTCTGGTGATGCTTACTTGATTTTCGCAAGGTGTGCCCTATCCATCTCCACTTCCTCTTCCTAATTTCTTGTTCTGCAGGAAGCTGGTTCTTCCTCTGCAATAAATAGCAATTTCTGGTGGTGTCTGGCCAGTGGATCTGAAGGATTCTGTGTAGTCAGCTTTTGATAAAGGGTCTGGATTTTCCTGATGGTTGCTTTTATTGTTCACCAGGTTGCTGTTCCATTAAGAAGGACCGACTTGACTTTGGAGTTGAAAAGACGGATATTGGTGTGTGTTGTGAGCTGACAGGAGTTCCACACATTTTTCATCATGAGGAATGCTGCTCTCGCCTTCCACATTACATTTCTCTTCCCTGTTGCTGTCTTTTTCAGTCAATTGCCAGGAGAAATAGAAATTGAGACACCATTCCTATTTAGGCTATCTACTGTAGGTGTTATTTAATAAAGGTCACAAGACAAGTTAACCCTAGAAAGTGGAGTCAGTGGATTCAAACGGGTAGGATGTAGGTCTATTCTATTAATTTTGTGAACACCAGGAGTAAAGAACAATGCAAATAATAAAATTCAGCTAAATATGCATATTTAAAATATACATATTTTAACTCACATATTCTTTTGAACATCAAAGAATGTGTCCAATCAAACTATATGGTATTTTGAAAAAATAAAAAACAAAAAAATAGAAGGCCAATATCAACAGATGAGAAGATATGCCCTCATTATTGAAACCCATTAACTTTACACTGAGTAAAAGAAAATAAATTCATTGCAGACATAATTTACAGTCTCATACTTTCCAATCAATGAATTGCCATAACCTATTAATGACTTTCAGTCATTTGTGAAGATGAATGGTCAAAGCTTTTTAAAAATCATCTTATTGAGAAGTACTTTAGAACTAAGAATAACTAGAAAAAAGTTAAGTAGACTACAGTAATTTCCATTGTAAGACTATTTATTTGTGTGACTTTTTCCAGGCCGCGAAATTGCACTTTTGAAAGGATTGGATATTTTCAGGACTTGCCAACCACGGTGAATTTTGAGAGCATGAAATCATCAAAATTCAAGAGCCATACAGAAACTAAAATTGACAATTTATTCATCCAGCCTCAGAAGCAGCATGCCCACTCAAACCAAAGTGGATTTAAGACAAGTGGATTTTGAATACAACTTCCCAAAAAATCGAAAAAAAAAATACCTTTGATCACTAAATTCCAGGCAAAAATTTCCAGGTAAAATATTTTAAATGCCACAAATAACGGTGAACGTTTGGAAGCAACAAATGGTTGTCAAAGAGTTTTGTTTGGGTTGTTTTTTTTTTTTTTTTTTTTTGTTTTTTTGCATTCAGAGAGTTATAGTGTAATTATGAAAATGTCAGATTTGTTCTTTTCCATGATAATACTACATGGTGATCAATGGCTGTTAAATCCTGCTATCAATTACTAGTCAACAAAGCTATCAAAGTAAATATATATATATATATAAAATCATTTCTAGCAGGGGTCACTCACCTTAAAGTGAAGATCTCTACTGACGAAAGGGTGGAGACAGCGAGGAAGCCTGACACCGTCTCCCTCTGCCGGATGGGTCTTGAGGGAACCATCACCACAAAGTTACTGTCCAAACGCAGCTCAGAGAGTGGCTGGAACAGCCGTACACTGCCGATCCTGCGCATGGGTGTGGGTCCTGAGAAGTAACCAGCCGGTCCCAGTTGGCCAGTGCGGATGGAATTGGTCTTACGGGAGTCCTCAGAGCTGCATTCCCCAGTGTCGGTGGATTGTAGCATGTAATACAACTCCACGGGAGTGCCTTCAACCAGCTCAGGAGATCTCTGTCGACCTGGTATGACACTAGGAGGACTGAACCAGCTAGGTAGTGGCTCCAGTTCAGCCACACACAGTCCGAGTTCCCCTTTCAGATGACAGGTGCCTCGTACCTCTTGGGTTTCATGGAAGGCAAACATCCTGACACACGGCAATTTGTCCATGGCACTGTAGTCGTCCCAGTCCCGGCCTACTAAGTAGAAGAGAACCTGAACCTTTGGCCAACTGGGATGGATTCGCTCACTGATAATGAAAGCCTGTATTTTCCAATTAAAACTAAAGAGTGGCGAGGAAGTGGATAATGGGGATGTGGATGAAGGGCTGTTGATGAGTCCCGGGCCCAGAAGCTCCATGGGCACGGGCTGTTCCACATAAAACGGTCCGTAACTAGCATTGACCGTTGGTGTCTTTCTGGCTTGCTGGATAAAGAAAAGTTCTGTACGAACCTGCAGGCTGGAGTTCCTCATGATGTCCTGGTTGGCTTCTTTCAGGAAGAAGGCAGACTCTGCATTTAACACCTGATATTGGACCGGAAGATACGTCGGGATGGCACCAAATCTCTGCAGTCCTTCCATCAGCATCCGGCTGTCAATGACTGCCAAATAATGGAGAAGACAGGAAATACATCACTCATCCATCTCAGACAGTAAGAGCTCTAAACCCGACCTACTGTAGAAACTTGCATGCTCTTACATGCTCTAAAGCAAAGGATCATTTGTCTCCATGCCCTATTCTGCAAACCCATCTCAAGGCAACTGGACTCTTTTATTGAATGCCTTCAACCAGCAGTTCACTGCAGATATTTGGGGTGATGGAAGGACCCAAGAGGCTCCATTGATTTTGTGTCACAGTGCTAGTCTGAGAGAAAGAGATGCTGGCGATTTGTGACAGCTGGTGGCAGACAAATGTTATTGGTGCTTAAGGCAGACACTACAGCACAGCAGGAAGAGGCTTATATACTATTGTGCAACAAAGTATTTCATGGCTTTTATTTAAAGGTTTTTCCTGATGAATATAAATTGAGTTAGAGGATTTCTACTTGTTCTACAGCATTTTTATACAGAAAGTTCTCTTTGTTTTTTGTTTTTTTATTATTAATAAATCAAATCATCTCATGAATATTGAGTTAATATAGTGGAATCAGTTTGTTTTGTTTCAGGTGAACCAGATCTGACAGATCTAATGCAAAATGTCAGTAAAGAAACGTGGGAGTAAAACTTTACTCTAATAATATTTTCCTGTGGGACTAAAACATTATTCTTTTTGGCATCAATAAAAAAGGGGAGAGAGAAAGAAAGAGTGAGATTGATAAAGATTAATCGAAAGAGCAACCGCGTTCATCATTACGTTCTGCATCAAGTTCAAGCGATACTCTTTTGGCGTTAAGTCGACTTGCGTACGGCCGTTAGTCGATTAAGTTTTAAATATGGATATTTTTCTTACACAAACACATCGCTTCACTTCATAAGGCCTTTATTAAACCGCCAGAGCCATGTCAAGCACTTTTATAATAGATGGACGCACTTTAATGGACTGGACTTGGAAGAGCCAGGGCATTTTTTTTTTAACAACTCCAATTGTATTCGTCTGAAAGAAGCATGTCATATACACATGGCTTTAGAGTAAATCATGGGCTAATTTTAATTTTTGGGTGAATCCGTTTATTGAATCATTCTCCTATGGATATGTAAAACAATTTTAGTACAAAATGTATGTATTTTTTGTATTTTATAAAATATTTATTTTATATAATTGTTATTCAGTAATAGCTTTGAATGTCTGTGAATGTTAGCAGCACATATATTTATGTTTTATGCTATTGGATATATTGCACTTTTAAGTTAAGGTCCATTTCATTAGATGAAATATGGAAAATGTACTGTCCTCAGCATAGTTTTAGAAGAAGTTCGTTTGTCCACAGGTTTTATGGTCTGAAATATGGAATGAAAAACTACAAATAAAACAGGAAATATTTTTACTAATAAAATCAGGCCTTTGAATAAACACATTCTGTAAGAAATTTACAACAATCTGTGTGAGCTGTGAGCTTCTCCTCTTGATGAACATAATAGTTATGATTTTTTAACTGGTTGAAAAATTTACATTTACAAATTTTTATGGCTTTTTTGCAGGTCTTTCACTAATGTACAGTGTAAGCAAATTAATATTCATTTTGAGAATATCAACGTTACCACTTGCCAGTTATCGATAATGGACATTAGTGTTTTTTATCATATCTCAGCCTTACCCATTGTAAAACCATTGTAATTCACTGCCAATGGTGGATTATTGCTTTAGTTTAAAAGATAACGATTTTACTCATGTAATTTGTAGTCTGTACCGGATTGCATTTCAGAAGTAATCTAACACTGCACATAATTACATGGTGAGATAGAGCAAGGCAGAGACAGGGAGGAAGACAGAAAATGCACCAGCTATCTGGGCATTGAGCACACGTACTGATTGCATCAGTATAGTGGAGCAGGAATTTCAGAATGTAAGCCTTATCAGAGACGTGTCTGTTGAGCAAAGGGGTGAAAATTAAGCTGATTTCAAAATGTTGGGAGTTGTGAAACGAGCAGAGGGGGAAATTAAAGATTCTGAGCCTACGGAGAGGATGCCACTGACAGACAAATAGCAAAAAAGGTCACATTAAAAATAGAGAATATTTCCTTGGTATGCTTAAGGTTCAAGAAAGAGTAATTTATGTATTTATTTTTACATTTTACAACTAGGCAAAATTGCACTCACCACTTAAAAGCAACTTGACATTTTAGATACAGAGTAAATTAACACTTATTTTTTATGCTAACAACAGCGCAACTGCCATTTACGATCAAACTGCGATCAAGCTGTGATATGCCTCAATTTAGCTCCAAAAATAATAGATCTGTTCAGTCATGACGTGGGTTAGTATAGGTCTACCCGGAAGGCTGATTCACGGTGGGTCAGCATTCCCATCGGGAAATTTAATTAGGTTTTTAGAATAGAGTTTTTCAATTTATGAGTTAAACAAGGTCTTACAATACTACTTGAAGAGACTTTCATGCTCTACAAAATAAATTATAAACTCACATCCTTGTGGTAACTCACACTAACTTTGAAAAGGTTGGGTTTGGTAAGACTTTATGTTTAATGTTTTGGAAAGAGGTCTCTTAAGCTCACCAAAAATATCTGATTAATATGCTTAAAAATGTTACTAATGTAATGGTGGCACATTTTTCTTGAGAAATTATTGTTATATGCTTATTTGTTGCTCAAGTAACATTTTGTATTATTATCAAGGCTTGAAACAGTTGTGCTGCTTAATATTTTTGCGGAAACTGGGATACAGTTTTTCAGGATTCTTTGACAAATAGATAAAACAGTCATTAGGTTTACTGTAAGTCTTTACTGTCACTTTTGTCCAGTTTATGCATCAAAACAGTATTAATTAATTTTGAGAATAAAATAATAATAATAATAATATTCTTACAGATCCAAAACTGCAACTATATAAAAAAAGATCCTAACTAGCTATTTCTCTTCCAAGTACAGTAGGAGTAAGATTCTATAAAATCTATCTTCCCCGCTTTTCCCCATTTCAACATAATGCAATGAACATTACCATTTTCCATAATGATAATTAGGAAATTTTTAGAGACCCATTAATGGCAGGAAACTCTTGATCTGCATTCGTCATGCCTGGTTGCAGAAATATCTTCCACAATCTGCTCAAAGCCACTTTATCAAAAAATTAGCAATCGCGCACTAAGGCTTACAGTGAACTAGTGTCTCCGATGAGACATCTAAACAAACCGAAGAGGCAAAAAACATAAGCATAAGTAAGCCTTTTTATGATTACATTACTGCAATCTATCGCTCGTTGAGCTTGAGTCTACTGCAGTGAGGGCTGGAAAAAGTCAATTGACTCTGGAAGTCAGATGGCTCACTGTATTTGGACATGGCAGGAGGCTAGGAGAAAAATCTGCTGATTTGAGCACCTCACAGTACCCGTGTTATACTAACCGCGGTGGCTTCTTGTGCACTCTCGGAGAGCTGGACTTTTTTATTTCAAGGTAACAGGCTTTGAGGATTGGTTTGTCTGGTGAGATTTTTTATCCATTCCAACTCGCTCCCAATCACTAGCGTTTGCAATCTCAGCTTGATTCTGTAGCCCTTGACTAACGGATTCAGTCAGATGCTGAGCCTAGCACCAATGAATTATGGGAGAGGGTGCGTAAATGGGAAGCAGGCCCTGTGTCATACAGGACAACTTGGAGAATGATGTAATGATATGCAGGTATGCTCTCATTTAGAGTCATACCTCCCGGGGATCACGTCGCCAAGACAAATGAAAAAATAAGTGAGAACAAAGGCTGGTGGAGTGATGACTCAGATTATTAGAATCCAAAGCCTTTAACAATAAAAACAAAAAATGACAACTGCAAACCAGCATGGAAATATATGAAATTCTTTTTATATTTGCATATTTGGCTATCATTCATTCGGTGGTGTTTAAAAGCTTTTGTGTTGATTTTTTTAGGCAAATTGTTGACAGGAAAACAATCCCTTGACCAATTTGGCCAATGGCAACTAGGCTAGCTTCACTGATGTTACGGTGGCATTCAAGGCTTTTGTTTGGCCATTGGCTGAAAGTCTAGGCAGGCTGGAGTAGAGAGCAAAAATTATGAACTGAAGCAGTTACACTGAAGGGAGCGGCTAAATACTATTATTTGACTTGAAATACAATGAATAAACAGAGTGTGGAGGTGGTAACTATAAAATTAATATATAAATATAGCTCCAAACAAAATACAATTCAGCCCTAGCCATAAAACAGCATTTTTACTAGAGAAACGAATTGTGCCAACTGGAACAGCCATTCAAAAATCTACCAATACAGATTCTACCATTTGAAATGGGAAGAGCTTGTTCTTTTATATATATATATATATATATATATATATATATATATATATACACACACTCACCAAAAGGATTAATAGGAACACCTGTTCAATTTCTCATTAATGCAATTATCTAATCAAGCAATCACATGGCAGTTGCTTCAATATATTTAGGGGTGTGGTCCTGGTCAAGACAATCTCCTGAACTCCAAACTGAATGTCAGAATGGGAAAGAAAGGTGATTTAAGCAATTTCGAGCGTGGCATGGTTGTTGGTGCCAGATGGGCCGGTCTGAGATACTCAGCATACTGAGTTACTGGGATTTTCACACACAACCATTTCTAGGGTTTACAAAGAATGCTGTGAAAAGGGAAAAACATCCAGTATAGTCAGAGGTCAGAGGAGAATGGGCCGACTGATTCAAGCTGATAGAAGAGCATCTTTGACTGAAATAACCACTCGTTACAACCGAGGTATGCAGCAAAGCATTTGTGAAGCCACAACCTACAACCTGGACCCCACCGGGTACCACTTATCTCCACTAAAAATAGGAAAAAGAGACTACAGTTTACAAAAGCTCACCAAAATTGGACAGTTGAAGACTGGAAAAATGTTGCCAGGTCTGATGAGTCTCCATTTCTCTTGAGACATTCAGATGGTAGAGTCAGAATTTGGCATAAACAGAATGAGAACATGGAGCCATCGT